TATATTTTCACTTTTAGTTATTTCACTTTTTAATTTTTCACTTTTTATTTTTCACTTTTTCGAAATTTCACTTTTCATTTTTCATTTTATAATTAGTTATTTTACTTTTATATATTTTTATAATTATTTATTTTACTTTTGTAATTTCGAAAAATGTATAAATAGAGGTGCTGTCTGAGCCTTAACTCGACATATTATAATTAAAAATAAAAATCTCTCTTAACAAAAATCTTTCTTTAAATACTTTCTGCCTCTTATTTTTTCTTTATACACTTCAAATCTTGTGTATAAGTGATCTTATATCATATTGAACCTATCAAATTACTGACAACTTTATATCGTATTGCACTGAGCAAATTGCTGTTATTGATTTTGGACTTTATATCATATTGCATTAAGCAAATCACTGTTATTGACTTTGGACTTTATATTGTATTGTGCCGAACAAATCACTATTGTTGAATTATTGAGCTATATATCATATTGTGCTGAACAAATCACTGTATTGAAAATTATTGAAATTGGATTTATAAGTATTTTACTTTTTGTTATTTGAATTTTTAATTGTTAATGAATATTTCTCACTTGTGAGAAGAACAAAGTGAAAGAGTCTTTGTTACTGTTATTACTAATTATATTACCTTTAATTCTAAGAAGCTTTACATTAGTATATAATTTTCCTTCAAATCTCCTTTATTATTCCTTTATTCTCTTTCCTCTTTGATCTTTACTCTCCCACAACTCTCCCACATTATTACTTCTTTTTAGATAAATACAATTTCCGTAGAAATTGGCATAGATCTTAGATATTTCTTTTTCCTCTTAATATTTTATTTATCAGTTTATACCCTCTTTCAATCCAGGTTCTCATTTGTAAGCTAATTTAATAATTAGTGAACAAACTTGTAACAATATTAAATGAATTGGATATACTGAATACTTTAATTTTGTTTGTGTTATTTTAGAGATAATTAAAAAATAAAATAAAAAATAAAACAAGAAAATAAAATAATAAAAAATGAAAAAATATGTTTATTAAATTTATGATTATCATTTTCTTGTAATATTTTACTAAGTTTATAATTATTGTTTTTTCATAATATTTTCATATTAGAATAATATTTCTTATATTGTACTTTCATTATAATATATTTCTTATATCATATTACTTAGATATAATTCAAGAAAAATGTTGGTAAAATGTATTATACTTAGAGTATTTCACTTGGTAATATATGATAAATTTGAAAAATAAGTTATTTAAAACTGTAACAAATATTATATAATATTCTGGAAAAAAGTACTGATAATATTTTATATAATATATAAGTCACATGCTTTAAATATCTTATCTAGAAGAGAGAAATAAGCTCTATAACAAATATATATTATGTAATATATATCACAGCTCTTATCATATTATGTAGAAAATTGATCTTATACAAGAAAATAAGACAGAATATGTAATAATAAAAAAAGCTTTTTATGAATTTTATTTGTGTATAAATAATAAAAGCTCTTCTTTCAAATATACTGTAATTTGCTATTTAGAATTCACTCTATAACATAATACTTTCCATGAATTATACCAGATCTAATTTATAAGTTTCAATATTGATAATATATTATATTCATGTACATTATAAATTTAAATTTATATTCTCCTAATAATATATTTGGGTATATTATTTTATATATTAATATATCCAAGTCTAATTCCATACATTTGTAAAATTAACTGTTTTAATATTATAATACTCATCTTCAAAACTATCAATTGGATGACACTGTGATAATGTATTATCTCAACAAAGTTATCCAAATTACCTCGAATTAAATTGATATCTGAATGAATATCTTTATTTTCCAAATTATTATTTTTGTTTTCTTCATTTTCAATTATAGAATTTTGATTAGATCTTTAAGATTGTTCAACCCAATTATAGTCAAAAATATGATTATCTTTAATTCCGTCACGGATATTAGAGATGCCACAACATTTGAATGAGCGCTTAATAAGATAAGTATTAACTTGATCTCATACAATTTTTACCCATTAAGCAACAATACTATAACTTGGACGTTGTATGCGACCAGAAGGTGTCAATTTTTTTGTTTCTTCTGCCATCCAATTATTATATACATGAAATTGGCGATACTATAATAAATAAATATGTAAATTAATACATCAAATAATATTAAAAAATATTTAACCTTACCTTAGATTTAAATAATTTGTTTATATATACATCTAATGGTTGAAGTTGCTGGTCAATCCACCCGGAATTACAGCCATGTTTATTTTTTTCATTGAATCGATGTTTGACAGGATCAGTCAATGACCACGAAAAGAATCCAAAACCAACAAGGAACGTGGATTGTTCAATAATGGTGCACGTTGACTCCATACATTTTCGATCCACCAAATCATTTCATCACTATTCATATACCCTTCTCAATTAGTACGAATTATTATTCCGTGGAACATTGACCAATTTAAAATCAATACTGGAGGTAACTTTTTGCCATCAGCCATACATGCTAATACAATGGTGAAATTAGATTTTCGTGTCCTGTTGTCCGAATGCTAACAGTGTTTGCTTCAGTTTCTTCAATAGTTGTATTAGGAATATCAAAGGTAAGTGGTGTTTCATCTAGGTTTCCAATTAGTGTCAAGGAATAATTATGTTGAATGCGTTGATATAACATAAAACTTAAAAACTGATGTTGTGTTGACTCTAACTCGTTTGGTAGTTTTTGTGCAATTGTAGTATGACGCCGAATGCTGAGATGGTAGCAGTTCATAAATCCAACCAACCACTAATATTTGGATAAATTGTAAGAAAACGTGGTTTTTCCGCCAAAGATTTCATCTTAGAATGAATTATAAAACGTGATACAACCTTTTGTTCTCAGCGTAAGGATCTCACCCAAATAACAAGATCATTTCTAATGCTGGATATCAGGGCTTTGCACCAAAAGTAAGTCGTTTCATTTGAGATCTTACACGCTTCAACTCTTCGTGTTTATATCCAGTCTTGAATTTGTTTAGGCTGAATATCAAAATTTTCTGCTGTATTGCGTTTGCTAGCACCAGGTTTATTTTCAAGATAAGTGAGTATGGCCAATTTTTCGCGTGCACTCCAACTTCATTTTTGGTTTTAACATTTGTCGCGCAAGTAAAATTTTGGTATAACGCACCATTTTTCTATTATAAACTGGCGATTAAAACTTAATTTTAATTATTACAAATGATACTTTACAAATATTATAAACTTAAGAATTGTTACGCGTTCAGGAAAAGAGAAAAATCAAAAGAAGTTTACGCGTTCGGAAAAAAGGAAAGATCGATCTGCATATCGGAAAAATTTAACGTGTCGTGTGTTGCATTAGATACTCTATTAAGATCCCCCCCATGAATTATCCCCCCCAACCCCCCCCCCCCCCCCACTTTAGAGTACCCACTGCTGGACTACATACTCCCCCGGGTACAAATCAGATTTCAGCCCATGGAACGTAACATACCCGGTTATTCTAAACGGCAAATTGCGGTATGTTGTAGGCGTAATGTGTCTGGCATTTTCATGCGAAACTCTAACGCGTAATATGTTAAGTCTTATAAAGATATACCGACAAGTAGCATATCGATATCACGATCAATATAAACTCAAAATTTCTAGTCTGATGTGTCATTATACGTAATTAAGTATTATTGTTGTCAACTTAATTTAATAAAGTTAAGTTTAAAGTACATGTATATTGTTTTGCTTTGTTGGAAGTGTTTCATCATGTGTCTTAGAAGTCATTTCATTCTCTTTGATTTCATATGGTATACTAAAATCGAAATCTGTTTTGCACACAAAGAAAAATAATAATGAATAGAAGAAATTAATGAAAAAATAAAAAATGCAATTTGACCTTCGCTTGGAACAAACAAACTGACTGACACTTGAAATTCCTGTAGATTTGATATGAATTTAATTAATATGAAATGCTAATATGATTTATATTTCAAAATAAAAGTACCTGTCTCAGTTGGGATTTGTGGTAAAGATTCGACTGGTGTAAACTGCGTTTGAGTGAATTTTTTTTTCGTTCGTATTTGGGGGATGCCATTCTAATTTGAGAGACGCTCAATAATTTCTTTATTTGTCTTGGGAGATTCTAAAGAGCTGTAGTGCTGAAAATGCAAAGTATTCAGCTTAGTGTCATCACTGGAAAGCAGATAGAAATGATAAAATTGTTAAATTCCAAAGCAGTTGGTTTTCTGGAATAGGTTCTCAACATTTTCAATAATAAATTTGCACCACCCCGGGAACATTGTTTTGTATCTTAGGGCGTACTCCTTCATAGATGTCCCATAATGACTTCGTTCACCAAATGGTCGTTTGTAATCATCCCAAAACTATACGTAAATATCTGCAGCTTTAGTGTATGGCTTTCCATTTAGTACCTCTGACCCATATACCGTAAATTTCTTTATTGGATTTTTTATATCCGTGGGACCAGGAAGTCCAAAATCAGCAATTTGAGCAAATTTCATTGGGTACGTATTACGTAATATCGATAGATGTAAAATTTTATTTGAAAATCACTAACGCTAAGAATTCTCATTTTTTTTTATCTTAGACAAAACACAAGATCATGGTTAAGAAAAAATTCTACGAACATAACGCTTTGTTAACATGTCTCCAAATTTTCGCCTCCAGATAAAATCTTTTATCATATTAATCCAGAATAGTTGCAGTATTTTAAATTATATTAGCAAAGCATGACTTTATATTTAAAGAACGTATAAATAACAATGAACAATGATAAGATAAAACAAAGCAGATAAAAATGAAGAGGACTTCAAAAATGAATTGTAACTACATGCATCAATTTTGATCAAACGAAAACAATTTATACGTTAATGATAATGATTATCGTTATTACATGATATATCCCGTCAATTTTATCCAACACCTACGCCACTCAAAAATTTCTGCTTTCACCCCACTTTGCTCTTTAACACTCTGAATCCAAATAATCAAACCAGCGTTTTCATTCTTAACTTTATCAGCTGATACATCAAACCCAGCAACCCAAAAAGAATTTGTATCAGCAATGCCCAAAAACGTCAACTCATTCAATACTGGCTTTGCTTTAGGGTCGGTCGATAATCCTGCATACACATGATAATATGCATAAGTGTTTGCGTATGGACCAGTTGAAGTATTGTTGAAAGAATCATCATCGTTAACACGAACTCCCATTTCCCATTTAACGTTGCCCCAAATACGTAGTAATCCTTGATCTTTAATATTATCGACGTGTTGAGGATTCCAAAAAACATTATGTACAACTTCTTCGTATGGTGATAATTCAGGAATTAGTGGAATGATAGACAATTCACCAATATGTGCCAATATTTCGGATTTCGACAAGACTTTATCATTTCCAGTTGGCGAAATGAAAATGGTCAATCCCAATTCTTGGATTGAAAATTGGAATGGGCTTTCACCTAAGGGAGGCGAAAAGGTGTTTGGATCCAATAAGAATTCTGAAGTGATCCATCCATTTGTATTTAATCGAATAGTCGGCTCAAACATTTTTACTTGATCTGGTGGTAACGATGATGTTCCAGGTTGATTATTTTCTGGATGAATCACGGAAGTATCGAACGATAATAAAACTACGGCGGTTTTTCCATCACTTCCATCATTATTAACATTATTATCATTTCCACCTGCAAATCCAACTACACCATTGAAATCCTTTGTGTCTAAAGAACTTAATCCCAATTTCACATAAGTACTAATACGAACACCATCTTGAGAAGGAAGATAGGTGATTGTGATTCGAGTTGGGCCATTTGTGGACAATCGAACATCTAATTCGTAGAGTGGAAGACTAAAAACAGTTAATTGTGATGCAGCAGTTTGTGTAACGATAAGAGAGGTTCCTCCTTGATACGCTTTATCGAACGAGTAATCAAATGTCAATGGTGATGATGTTGGTGGAAGCTTATTCGGCTGAATAGATTGATGGCTTAAATGGTACCAATCCTGATTTGATAACACCAACTAATCATTCATATTGAACGACATGTTAAATACGCATTGTGTAAATTAATTAAATTGAAATTTCATGCAAGATAATTAGACATTATGATTTATAATTACCCGACCATCAACATAAAAGTTTTTTCCGCACCCTCGAGAAAAATTCGTGTAAAATAATTTGTTATCGGGTGGGTAGCGCGCTGCAATATAATCAGCAACGCCAGGATTCCTCGCTTTGCAAAATACAGTTTGATGGTAAATTCGAGTCGAGAAGCAAAAAAACGCCGAGTAAATATTTTACCCATTGTTGTTCCAACATCTCCAGTTTTATTATCTCCTTCAGTTGGTCGCGGCAATACACCACCTTGCCAAAATAATTTATCGTTAGTCCAAAAATTTTCTAGGCCAAGATGCTCAAATGTCCAAGCTGGAGCGAATAGAGCTGCGGATGTATTTGCGTTTTTAATTACTTCCAACGCCTAAAACAAAGGATATTAATTATTGCGTACGACAAATCAATGACAACCGATTGATAATCACCTTAAACGTGGAAAAACTAATAAAATCAAATAGAATTTGGTAAATGAAAGAATAAATGCTAAATAGCTTCTTTTGGTGTCTTTACACTTACCCGCCACCACCAAAGGTATTACGTCCCCAAATATCGATTCCAGTATAAACATCACGTTGTCTTCTTTCACCTGCTCTGACAGCAGAAAGAGCAGGAAATTGTTGTTGCCAAGTATAATTTATGAAAATACCGTCAGTTGATTTAAAAAATGGGTAATTTGCATCATTTAGCTGATCTTGCCATTGAACGAATCCTTCAGTAGTTACTGAATCGTACCTAAAGATAAGATATTATATTCAAATAGACTCGATCCAATCCATTTTCAATTACGGCCTTAGTAAAAAAAATCCGGTCTTTTTACCATACAACCAAGGATCCAGGGATTTTACGATGAATTTCTCGTGTGAAATATTCCAGAAACTTTACTAACTGTTTAGCGTGTGCAGGACCTCCGACTAATGGTGCTTCGACATTTACAAACCATCCATCAAAGTTATAATATTCAGCCATTTGAACTTTCAATTGAACAAATAACCACCGTTAATCCAAGATGAAAGTTTTGGTTATACTACGGAAAGAATAACAAACATACTCAATTTATCTGCGAAAACAGTACTGACAATACTTCGGTCTACATTTCCCCCTTCTGATAATTTTCCTTCGTAATTAGGCCCACGAACCCATAAATCATTTTCGAGTATAGCGCCGTCCCATTCGGTGATCAATGTACCTAATACTTTAACACCATTACGATGCGCTGCATTTGTCCATTGTGGCGGAGGGACTCCAACACGATTATGCGAGAAACTAGATCATGATCATTTAAATCGATTATCATATTATTGATATGCAAAGATACGCATCAAAGTTACTCACTAGATAAACGTGTCAACATATTGCCAATATTGAATGTTATAGCCGGTTTTGAAATAGTCTTCGATATATCCTATAAATAACAATTGGCTCAAGCATAAGAAGGCGTCTAACAAAAAAGGTTCTAACAAATTACATACCGCCCGCCATATCATGACATACGATAACCTTGAGATCTCTTTTACTTTTTTCCTCGCCAGAGAAGGTATTTCGAAATTCAGGTCGTGTACGAAGCGTTACTTTCGCCACATTCCGATCATCATTTCCTGGTTGCCAGTTCGCTAATTCAGTGAAATTTTTCCAAAATGGAGATGTTGGCTTTTGCTCTGGGTGAAGATCTTGGTGAAGTTTAAGCATTTTCCTCTCGACGATAGGGAAATTGAAGGCGAATTTTTATTTGAATATTTGCTTGATGTGATGCAAATAAAAAAAATTATTTTGATCGATATAGGAATTTGATCTCTATAATTAATTAGCGTTAGAGATGATCCGACTCTATTTAGTCACAAATAAATTGCGTGATTTATTTTTTACAGCGTTCGGCTAGCTTGTTCGGCGTCAATGAAAAACTTTTTGCGCAGCATTCCGTTTTCTATGCTTAATAGCTAAACGTCATAAGTCTGGCGTAATTTTTAAAGGTTTCACTCTTTACCTCTTTGCGTAAAGATCTAATGGATATCCTACAAATTATGATGCAGTGAAACCTTCATCCCTTTAAAAGATTTTCAAAGTAAAAATAGTAAAAATGTAGATAGTTGATCGAATGCACTCTATTTCTTGAAGAGTATTGGCTCCGAGACATTCTGTCAATAACTGGAATTTACTTTTCTAACGTTAATCTCCAGATGAATCAAATAGAATAATGACAATTGATTGATACAAGAAACATCTTCAATACCCAAGCACAAAAAACCTGTACGACATTCGATGAATTTTGTGCGCCCAAACTTATATTTGGTGGAAATCACTATACTGACGGTAAGATTTTTTTATTAAACTTAGATTTTTTTTGCGTCTTCGAATAAATTTTTCATCTCTTTCTACCTGTCCATACAGTCTCTTGCTTCTGTGAATTAATAGCTTGTATTATTTGCAAATTCACGAGCGTCGTCTCCTATCTTGACCATTAATTATTAAAAGTAATTTGATTATGGCGCAATCATTAACCCCAGATTGCCTTTCGGAAATCTTTGGGTATCTCACGGACAACAAGCAGGCGTTACATTCTTGTATCCTAGTGAATCGTATTTGGTGTGAAACTTCTATTCCGATACTCTGGCGACAACCGTTTCGATTACTTTACTCTCACGAAGCAACGAGAAACAGTACCGAAGAAACACGACAAATTAAAGCGACCAAATTGCTGCAAATTTACTTCGCTTATTTAACCCCCGAACAAATAAATGATCTTGACGAAGATCAAGTTGTGAAATATAACATTAAGACGGAGTCAGGTGTGGAGAGTGCCGAGGCAAATGCATCCGCGCTCACCTTTCAATACATTACCTATTTGAGATGCTTGGATTTGGTGGATATCCATGCGGCAGTTCGTGATTGGATAGAATATACGAGACGACAGCAAATTTATTATCAAGACAATGTGTCGGAGCCAGAATCGACTAATTCACCATTAATTTCATTGTTAAAATATGCAGTAGATGCGATTATTTTTCTAATTCATCTATTGGATTGCTGCAGATGTTCATCGAATGATAGTGACGTTGATATGCTTTCAGATGCTCCGTCATATGATCAAATGTCAATCGAATATGACGAACAAAAATTATCAACAAAAATATGCGAACTATTGATTGGTCGATGTAATTCGGTTAAAAGACTCTCAATTGACGTTACCGCTTTCGAGAACAGATCATTGATACTAGGAAGTAGCATAAATGAAGATGGCGATGTACCACGATGGTTTTTGTCTGTCCCCATTTACGCGAATGCTCAATCATGTTTTTCACAATTGACCGAGTTCACCTGTATAATAAGGTCAACCTCGACCGACATTTTTCGAGAAATGGGCAAGAAAACGGATTTATTTCGTGAGCTCGCTAAAATCTCGCGATACATTCAACGTATTGTTGTTCATCTACCGACACATAGACCTCAGGTGAGTTGTTTATGTAGCGTTTGTTCTCAACGATTAGAAAGTGAAGTAGAAGAAAGAACAGAAGAAGTTAAAAGTTTAGCCGATCTTATTTCAAAGCAGAACGACTTGAAGGAAATTGACATTTCATGCGGAATTATTGGTTCAAAGGAATTAATGGAATCCATAGCGTCACGATCAATTTCATTAAAAAGACTATTATTTACAAACACTAAATTCTATAGTTGGGCTCCCTTAGAAGAATTAAGAGAATTGGTAAACATAGAAGAATTAACATTCCGATCATGCCACGGACTAACTGAAGAAATTATGAAACCATTAATGGACGCACCTTTTGCAAGATTAAAACATCTTGACATGGACAACACGTCTGCTCCAACAAATATACTTGAATCAATTATTATCAGCTGTGGAGCATCAATTCAGCGTCTAAACCTTGGAAGTTATATTCATCCTAATCCAGATGCGTCTCAGCGATTAATTCAAAGCGTCACATTTCATTGCACAAATTTACGTCAATTGAATCTCTATGTATACGGATCCGACATGAACTCTCTTGCTACCTTATTCGAATCTCTCACGCAACTAGAGTCAGTCGTCTTAGCTGGTGCAATGGCCGAAATAAATGTAGACGATTTATTCTCTTCATTGGCTCTGATTGAAATGCCGCAATTAAAACAATTTGCCATTGAAGCTGGCTGGAAATTTTCCTGGCGGTCATTGGAAACCTTTCTGCGAAATAAGAAAAGCTTGAGAGTGTTGGAATTCAAGTATACGCAATGTTTCAATCAACGACATCTCGATGCGGTCGTTAGTACTTTGGGCTATACTTTAAAATTGCTAAAAATTTCGGCGTTGGCTTCTCTGGACGAAGATGCGCTCAATATTGCTCGTTCTTTTTTCGATGTGGTCGAAATCGACGAGAATTAATGATATGTAATATATATAAATGTATATTTAAGAAAAAAGACATTTTGACTTCCAGTTTTCTTGGACTATATTCTTATATTTCTTTTTTTTTAAATTATTGGTTTGGAAAGTTTTTAACATTTCAGTTAGCGGAAAGACAATATTACTTTTTCTGATTTCTTTTCTGTCAAAAATGACCGACTTTCAAATTTACAGCTGAAGGTCACTTTAAAATTTTAAATAAAAACAAGAAAAGTGTCATTTACAATAATAGCTGATGCGACCACTTTCTCGCATATTCTATACCGCTATGAACTCGAAAACTGGAAGAGTGACGGTAAAAAAATCTTGGGTATTGAGAAAAAATTATGAAGAATTTGCCGTGAACTCAAGAAGATACAAGATTTTTATAAAATCACTTGGTAGTAACCTTAATATAGTAATTTTAAACCGCAGTATGACATAGTGACACAGATCGGTTGGTATTGGCGCATTCAGACTGAGTTCGATTTTAAATCGATTCTCCTGTTTAATTGGTTTCTGTATTTTTAGGAATTCCTTGGTTACAATTATATATATACAAGAAACTGCGATTAACTGCGCACGGACGGATATCTTTGCCGAAAGGTGTTGAATTTTATCATCATAAATTATTTGTTGCCTTTTTAGCTCATTTGGAACATATGCTGATGATGTATTTACATCACACACGCATACATGCACACATAAATTTGACTACGGCTCGGAATATTAATTCCGGATTTAAAACTATAAATTGCTGCAGTTTTTAGTCCATCCCTTTTTTTTTTAGGAAAAAATCTTTTCAACTTGCTAATAAAAACGATCTTTTCCTTTTCACACAACACTAACAAAAAAACCTCACTACAACCACGACAAAATGTCACAAACTTCTAGAAATCCAAGTTGGGATATTCTTTCTCAACAATTTGACTTCATCGGCGATAATAACTTGATGTCGAATAATCACATTACAGGTCAGAAAAAGTTCGGTGAGAGAAAGAAAACTAATCAGAATATTAATGTGATTGAAAAACACACATTTGATTTATCAGACTTTCATTTATTTGATGATGAGAACAACTCTTTGGGTTGTATTAAGCTCAAAAAAAATGAAAAATATATGGAATATACTGAATGTGAAAACGACATTGATTTATTTGGAGAGAAAAAAACAAAAAACGAAACAAATAACTCTGATTTTAGCTCGCCTCCGAGCGAAACTAACCAAAATAACAACACAGTTTATGATTCACAAATACGGAGAACAGATTATGATTCACAAATACGGAGAACAGATTATGATTCACAAATACGGAGAACAAATTATGATTCACAAATACGGAGAACATATTCCCATAACGAAATACACACCAACACAGACATTGATACGGATTTTCCTCTTTATCCTACGCGATCGCCTGACTTTTCCTTAGAAAATATGTCAAATCCTAATCCTTATTCTTACCCTGAATTAAATGATATTACTAACTCACTCTCATTGTTCCTAACGAGTGAACGGTAATTTATTCTTTCTCTATTATAAGAATTAAGTTAAGGATACGTTTTTATTCTATAACAAGGGTAAGAAAACGACCATAATTTTGTAGATAAATTGTGTAAATTAACAAAAATTTTCTTTTAGACTATAAGGATTAGAATTCCTTTTTTACAAAAAATAAGGTGTCATACACATTTAAAAATAAAGATCCATTTCATAAGGATTAGAATTCCTTTTTACAAAAAAAGGTTCTCCATTAAAACCTAAACAACCTGACATTCATTAATGTAGTATCATAATTAGTCGAAGCAGATGCGGAATGAGTCAATTGTTCCGTCCACTCCGTTATTGTGACATCATTGGGGCAGAGCTTAGTAATAGTGTCATAAACTATAAACTCTAAACTATAATTGTTGGATAGTTTCGTCATAATAACACGAATGGTACATACTAAACTGCGCCACGTGGTCAATTAGACTTCTATTCAAAAACAATAGTAATTGATGTAATAGAATGGACTGTATCTATTTTTATAATTTGAATATTTCATTTACATACATAGACATATAAATATATATACACATTGTTACCATTGTAGCTAAATTTCTTTAATTAATGAAACTTAAAAAATAATCATTTTTTTATACAGCCTGATCCCCGTTATTATCAATCCAGATAATATTAACAACCCGTTGTTATCTATCCTCGTATATATCAACAAAACATGATGTTGATAACAGCAGCATATCGATATATATCGATAAATATATGATCGTGTGAAATTCTCTGAACTATGGATAAACTTCTTTACTAAGAAGTAATACAGAATTTAATCCGTGAATATGCTCAGAAAAGGCCTATTCTATCATATTCACGGATTAAATTCTGCATTTACTTCTTAGTAAAGAAGTTTATCCATTTTATAAATACAAACGTTTGATGACTTTAGATTTTATGCACCATAGCTTATTACATTACGTCTGGAATGTGCGCCAGTTACGCCGATGTCCAAGAATCATAAATGCCTAAATCTAGCTTGGAGAACTAATAGAAAGACAATTTTACATATAATTTGAATTTCACGCTAATTCTAATCCTTATTTCAACTTTAAAATCAACCTTTAACGTTAATTTCCGAATTTTTCCGGGATCGGCACACATTTCAGATCTTTCTTATCACACAGATACAGCGTATACATGTATTCGTCATATTTTATTATTAAAATAAAATAGGATTAGAACTATTCTTTTTTATTTTTTTTTATGATGAATGATAAGTTAATTCCTTGAATTACAAAAAATATCTATGTTTTTAACACTGATAAGTGTATTATCATCATTGTGACATGTTATATGTTATCTAGCTATTTGTTAACTTATTAGAACAAAAACTGATTAGATAAGTCTAGTGTTGAGAAGTTCAACATAAATCTATAGTAATGATATTTCTTTCATATTTGATGATAAACAATAATTATTCTGAATCTAATTGGTTCTATTTAAGATAATTTTGATTGGTTTTTTATTATAAATTAAATTTATATTGTGCATATACTTTGTGTAAATTACTTTTAAAATTTAGCATGTGTTTTATTTTATAAGTTAATTGGTTCTTCTTATATAAATTATTTATTTTGTGTTCTATTGGTATTACCTTGTGCTATATTAGTTTAATTTTGTGTTTAATTAGTTTTATTGTAATTTAGCTTATATTAACACCAATTTTAAATGTGCAACACTTAGCAAATTGAAGTAACTTTATATATTATTTGTAATATATGAAAATAAATTATATTCTAATTAGTTTTTTGAAAATAGAAATAAATATATATTTTAGTTTAAAATTATTATGTTTTCATATTTTTATATTTTTTTCAAAAGTATTATTAAATAAATTGGTTATAATTTATTATATATTAGTTTTTTAAGTATATTATCTTATTTATCTTAACAAAAAATTATTTATTATTATTATTATTATATAATATAACTTATTTTTAATATAATAAATTTTTTAATATTATAAAGAATATTTTTAGAATTATTAATAAAGTTAATTTTAATATATATATAATAAATTATATAATATTTTTTTAATATAAATTATGATAAATTTTTTAATATTATAAAAAATATTTTTAGAATTATTAATAAAATTTATTTTGATATATATAATAAGTTATATAATATAAATTATAATAAAATTTTTTTTATTTTAATATTTTTACTATTTCTTAAACTAATAAATTTAGTATATAATTTTATATACTAAATTTATATTTAATCTATTTTTATTCAAAATTAAAATATTTAAAAAATTTTTTTATATAAGTTATAATTATATATTATATATTATATAATGGTTTTTTTATTTTTTTAATAATTATAAAAAAATAAAATTATTTATAAGCTAAAAATAAGTAATCTTGAAAAAAATTTTATTTTTACAAAATTTTATTTTTAGTTTTTAACAAATTTATTAATTTTTAAGCTTATTCTTTTATAAATTATAAAATTTATTATAAAAAATAATACTTATTATTATTATTTTTATAATTTTATTATAAAATTATATAATTAATTACAAAATATAATTTCTAATAAAAGTAATAGTGAATATATTTTTTGCTTATAATTAATGAGAATTATTCAAAAATTATAAACTTTTATAAATATATTTTTTAAAATATTAGAAACAAGTTTTTAAATATTATAAATTATATTAATATAATAAAATTTTGTAATACTTTATATTATTACTGTTGTAATATATTATATATTATTTAACTATTTGTTAATATACAAAGACAAAAGATCAATTAGAAGTATAATATTAATAAATTTAATATTTATCTATAATAATAATATTTGTTTCATATAATAATAATATTTAATAATTATTATAAATCTAATTGATTTTTATTTAAAAAATTTAATTAGTTTTTTATTATAAATTAGATTTATATTATATATATACTTAATATAAATTATTTTTATTAAAATTTAATATATATTCTATTTTTATAAATTAATTGATTCTTTTTATATATTTAATTATTTTTTGTATTATATTGGTATTGTTTTATAT